TCCCAGATCGTGACGTAGACATGTGGGGGTGTGTTAGAATGAGCCGTTTTAGGTAGGCATGGTTAACTCTTAACTTTTATAAAGAATATCTCTTTGGTTTTGAGACTTTAGTGTTCGCAACTTTACAGATCTTCTTTATGCATCAAGAGCTTGTAACACTCCAAAGAGGAAGAAAAAATTGAAATCGCATCATATGACCCCTTTAACGCGCAAAATTGGAATATCGCATAAAACATTTGCGAATAAGCACCGTTTCCATTCAACGAGTCAGAGAGAAAAAAATCGCCACTTCCTGATAAACTGCCACTAAATATCACTAAGAAAATTCGCAAATATAATAAATTGCTTGCGCTCCAAGTGAACAGACGAGACAAAATAAATGCGGCCTTGTTTTCGGAGGCGAATGCCTGCTGTTTGGGAACGCAGTCGTGGTAGACCGTTCTGGAAGGCAATTATACAGAAATACTTTGACGACAGGCTTTGCTCGGGCATTTCAGAAAACAGTGCTACTGTTATCTTTATAGTTATCGTTCTTGACGTGAACGGGCCTTAAAAGGCAGCAGCTATGAAGATCCCGTTCATCGACACAATGGAGTCTGCTACACAAGAGATATGCTGACGACCTGTGCTTTGTTTCTTATGCCTCCAGGTGGATTCTGGCTGGGTGTGGACCAGGAATCTGTGGCAGGTTCACTTTCTTGGACAGGCGTCGTTTTTGGCGTAATTGCCAGTCTTTGTGTATCTCTCAATGCCATCTACACAAAAAAAGTGATGCCGGTGGTGGATGGAAATATCTGGAAGCTCTCCTACTACAACAACCTCAATGCCAGTGTACTTTTTATTCCACTTATTGTTGTTTTAGGCGAACTGAAAAGCTTGTTGGAGTTTAACCGACTGACACACTTACATTTTTGGGGCATGATGATTTTGGGTGGAGTTTTTGGCTTTGCCATCGGTTACGTGACGGGACTTCAGATCAAATTCACCAGTCCATTGACGCACAATGTGTCTGGCACAGCCAAATCCTGCGCACAGACCGTGTTGGCGGTCATCTACTCGGCCTCCAGTAAGAGTGCGCTCTGGTGGACAAGCAATATGATGGTGCTGGCCGGATCCTTCGCCTACACCTGGGTCAAAGGACTCGAGATGAAGAAAGTTCAAATGCCTCCAGAAACACAAACCACAAGCACTCAAAAAAGTAAAGAGGATTCTGCGGTGTGAAAAATGGTTTTGGAGTAACTTTGTTGTAGAGACTGTCTGTTCAGCACATCTATATATACAGTACATAGGTGTATTTATTTACTTTGTAGTGTAAATGCTAATTATTAAAACCTGTTTAACGAAACTCTATTTGTTTAGTAACACCATATACAGACATTTCTGAGAAAAATGCATTTACTTTTTCAAATTTTTATTCGGTGGCAAAAAACGTTAAACTTCCGTTTTTGCGGTAGCTCTTTAGCATCACTGTTGAAAAGTAATTAGCTGGTGAAGTGGATTTATTTTGTGTAGAGTTACTGGATGATGTCATTACGAATGTCAGTAGACTGGGAAGATTTTAAAACGAGTGGTTCGTTCATAAAGTCATTGCATGAATGCGATTGGCTAGCGTCTGCACTAGGGTATTTGCATAAGGCGATCTGATTGGCTGACGCCTGCGTTGGTGCTTGAAAAGTTGAAAAGTTTTCAACTTCTGCCGCGAGCAACGGACCCACAATTCATTTAGCCAATGCTTGACGTCACTCCATTCAAAGTAAACGAGAGGCGTTGACGCTGACGCCCCGTGTGAATGGGGCGTTACGCTTTACACTATGGAAATACATACGGTAGACAGAATAGAAAAGTCAAATTAAAAAAAGGCTCAATTTATTTATATAACGTATATCTCACAATTCACAATTCTCACAAAGTTACCAAACTGCAAGGTAAAAACTTAGAACTGACATACAGTTGGAACTACATGATAAACAGTCGCAGTTTTATTTTTTATTATTAGCATTTTTTAATCCTGTGATGGAAACAGTATTGTTGGAATCACTTTCAGAGCTTGTTTTTCTCCAGCTGATGAACAATAAAATCACAGACAGCCAATCAGATTATCTTTAGCCAATCAGATAATATTTAGCCAATCAGATCATCTTTAGCCAATCAGATAATCTTTAGCCAATCAGATTATGTTTAGCCAATCAGATAATCTTTAGCCAATCAGATTATCTTTAGTCAATCAGATAATCTTTAGCCAATCAGATTATGTTTAGCCAATCAGATTATCTTTAAAGTTATCGTTCTTGGCTTGCATGGATTAATGTATTATACATTTTTTTCCTTTAGATATGATAAAATAGAAGAATCGACACATTTTACTTATCAAAATATTTTCACAGTTAGCATTGTTCATGTGGTCACCCCTTAACTGTCACCGTCCCACCTGTGGGACGCTTGGCACTCTTTTTAGTTGTTCCTTTTTCTCCATCAAATCTTTTAGTAATCATCATAAATCATCATTCATCCTGTGAAAACCATTTTGTCGGTCATTGCCAATCGGACATTGCGTTACCATGGAAATGGTACTTTAAAATCGTTTGGCGGTCTCCTCCCCCTTAGTGGGCGGTGTCAAGTGTCATATTACAAAATGCGTTATGCTCTTTTACAATCAAAACTTTTTATAATCTTGACAAAAAACATATCACTGGAAAGGTCTGAATCTCAGGATTCCATATAGAAGCAATAGTGACAGAGAAATCTAGACATTTGTGACAGAAAAATGCATAAAACAAATTAAATGGAGTTTGCATGGCACCCGGTGGCTGTTTGTGGTATAACGCTCTAAATAAAATCTCACAGGAACCTCAATTTTTTTCATATCAACTTCAAATTTGGAACATAACTTATTTAGACAAGGCTTTAATTTTATACCAATTTTAGAGTAAAACCTGTTATGTAAAATATTTATTATATATAAAATAAAATTTATTTAGTCAATTTTATTTACAGTAAATGTAAACTTCTATAACTTTTTGATACTTCAATTTTTAAATAATTTCAAATAATCTGCTGATTTTCTTCTTTAAAAAGAGACCAACCTTAGGTCTGTATTCCAAAGTGTTCATAAACTACAACAATTTAAGTTTGGATAGTGCGCTTTCATGCCTATTTAAAAAAATGGGGGGTGACAGTCAAGGGGTTAATAACTCACACAGAAGAGAGGAAAAGATGAGATAAAAATAATTAGAATATAGTGACTATGACTTTACATATGAACCATGGGTTCATCACAGTTCATCACTGGTGGTGCCTGTTGACATGCAGGTGTTATGATACCTAATGATGACATGCTGAGGTATAGTGTATGTGGACCAATGTTTAACTAAATCAGTGACTTGCATTAGGAGAAAATGCATTTCTATTTTGACAACAGAATTTCATTTTGGGTCTTTCCATGGCTAGAGTGCAGTGTTGGGAAAAAAAAGTCTTTACCTACTAGTAAAAACGACTTTTTTTTGTTTGTTTATTTTCTCTCTTTCTCCTGTAATATAGAGTCTGCTGGTAAAATGAACAAAAAAAAAATTTGGTGCTCCTTTCATTTAGTAATAGTGCGACCAAATTAGAGTTTCTATGTATAAGCAGCATGTTTTCTTTAGCATTGAAGGACCTATGAATTGTGCTCCGTGGCAGAATTCTACAGGGAAAATTTTACATGAAGATGTTACACGCAACGGCCAATTAAGTTCATTCTATTCCTCTCCAGAGGGTGTGTTGACCTTCAACTCAAATGAACACAACGTTTACAAAAGTACTGGATTTAAATGGGCAGGGCCCATATTATTCCATTTCAACCCGTTCACTCTCATCTCATTCGCCACTGTACATTTACAGCTGATGTATGGTATCCATGGCGACCACCTCTTTAAAATCCAAAACCTCTTAATCTACACATCGTATCTTATTGAAATACTCTTATATATATATATATATGACAAATTTGGATATTTCATTACTTTGACCCAGAATTAATTGTTAAAGTTGTTGCAAAGACTCATCTTGTCTAAGGAGGATACAGTATGTCTCTATTGAGATGTGGAGTAACAAGATTGTGTTTCAGGTTGAAAGACCAACCTGTTTATGGTGTTACAGACAGGAGTTTTTGAGTTCATTGGGCCTGTGATCCTTTTGCCTCAGGCATCTGCATGCAGCTTGAGTGGAAATACATTGTTTGTGATCCTGTTATAGGATACTGGAACTCAAATTCCAGCTAAAGTGTGCCGATACAGATTATTACGATTATATATGCTGTCACATGGGGAAATACATTCATTGCCTAACCAAATTGATATACAATCCATGATTCCTAGTTTAATACTTATCTAATGTGTACTGCAGGAGTGACTGAACCTGTTCCTCTAGGACCATTTTCCAGCAGAGTTTAGCTCCAGCCCTTAATTAAGCACAGCTAATCAAGATCTTCAGGATCACTAGAAACTTGGAGCTAAAGTGGCCCGAAACCAAGGATCCTTCAGACTGGAATGGCCTTTGATGCCGCTTTCAGACAGACCATGGTAATATGTTAAATGAAATAGAAGATTTCCTGTTTATTATCCATTTAACATCATCATTAACATCCTATCATTTAAAAAGAACATGCAAATAATAAACTGTGAAACAGTATAATGAATACATACCCAGAAAAAGGTCATCTGTTGTATAATACAGAAGGCTGAGGTAGTGCTAACACCAGTGTAAATTCCTGTTCCAGTTTGCAGATTCACATTTTAAATGTAATATATATATATATATATATATATATATATATATATAGATAGATAGATAGATAGATAGATAGATATAGATATAGAACTTGCTCTGAAAAATAATTTTCTAAATATCTGTATTTCTAAAAATCTGTAAGTGCATGATCTTATTAAATCAGCTCAGTGCAACTGCTCACTAAAAACCACCTCTAGATCACTATTTCAGGTCATTAACATTTGGATGTTTTTCTGTTTGTTTTTGATTTCGTCTTTTGGATTCTCAGTTATTCAAACACTGCTTTTTATGCTACTATACACCTCATGTAGCTGCTCTGAATGTGCTGGGAAAATATTTAAAACCTCAAAGTGTTGGCAACAGTGTCATCTGGTGGCTATAAATATTACTAGATGGATAGACTTGTTTTGAGGGAATATTTAGACACAAATGCACGTTTAGGGTAGATACTTAGCCTATGCATCAGCATTAGTGCAGGGGTGTACAATACTTGAGTCCTTTTACTTGATTACTGTACTTAACCCTTTGATGCACAAGCTATGAAAACCCCTTCTAATGCACAGCATGGGTCTAAAATGACCCGTATTCATTTCCTATGTTATTTCATGCTTCGCTGGGCTTTTTTGTTGTTGTTGTGGTTTTATCTTCTGAAATCAGTTTATTTCAGCATTTAATATTCCCTGATCTATAAATTCTATGAGCCATGAATATTAAAAATATATATTTTTACAAATGACCACACATTAATATAACATTTTTTGTGTTACTACATCAAGTTTACACACATGGGTCAAAAAGGACCCATCTAAGCAAGCATTAAAAAAACTAAAGAATAAAGACATTTTTTAAACTCATGCAGTGACTTCAAGAAAGCAGATGCACTGTTTGTTGCAATTTAATTAATGGCCAGGGTTTATGGACAGGTACACTACCAGTCAACAGTTTTTGAACAGTAAGATTTATAATGTTTTTTAAAAAAGTATCTTCCTCTCACCAAGCCTGCATTTATTTGATCCAAAATACAGCAAAATCAGTAATATTGTGAAATATTTTACTATTTAAAATAACTGCTTTCTATTTGAATATAGATTTAAAAATGTAATTTATTTCTGTGATCGAAGCATCATTACTCCAGTCTTCAGTGTCACATGATCCTTCAGAAATCATTATAATATGCTGCTCAAGAAACATTGTATTATTATTATTATTATTATTATCAATATTTAAAACAGTTGAGTAATTTTTTCTCAGGATTCTTTGATGAATAAAAAGATCCAAAGATCAGCATTTATCTGAAATAAAAAGCTTTTCTGTTTTTTTTAGCAGCAAATCAGAATAATAGGATCATGTGACTGGAGTAATGATGCTAAACATTCAGCTTTGAAATGACAGGAATATATATATATATATAGTTTTTTTTTTTTTTGCTTTTTGGAAGGTGAATGGGTAACAAGAGTACAACATCACAATGACAATAATAATACAGGGTTACAGATTTCTACATGCACAGTTGCAACATTAGAGAAAGTAAAATCAAGACATATCACCAAGTGTTAATCTACTCATTCTGAGCTGTTACTGTAATATACTGTATGTCCAGAACTCTTCCCAAGCAGACAACTCATCCTCTTTCACACCATTTACTCTATTAAGCATAGATTCGTAAGAAGCCATTTCTATCATTGCATCTTGAAATATGTGTAAGGTTAATTTCAGGCAACCACAGCTGTGTCATG